GCTTTTTAAGAAATTTCTGAAGAAAGAAAATAATTTGTATTTGCTTGTAAGTGATTATAGACAATAAATTCCCATAGGCTTAAGCCTCCAGATCATCCAAGGCACAATTCTGACTTTGCTTCTCTTTTTTCTGTTGCTCTTAAATGAATCTCGACCATTCCCATAAGGAATAAGACACTTTTGACAGAAAATAACAGAAACCCACTTAACAAGTCAAAGAAAAAGGAAAGGAAAGAAGGGTGGAGGGAGTGAAAGAGGGAAGGGGGAGGAGTAGGAGAGAGGGAGGTAGGATTGTTGGGAAAAAATCTAGAGGTTAATCTGGCTTCAGGTATACCTGCTCCAGAGGCTCAAACAATGTCCTCATATTTTTCTTTTTTTTTTAAATTTATTTTCCATGTGGCAAGTCACATAGCTAATAGCTACTCTATATTAAAATTTTCCCAGATTATTAACCAAAGCAGGAAAAGACAGTTTTCTATAATAGTCCTTGGAGGAAACTTTGAAGAACTAATCTAGCTGGTCAAATTTGGAATACTTCCTCAACCCTGCACTAATCACTGCAACCAAAAGAATAAAATTATTCCACCCTTTGGGTGTGAAGGGGGTGGGGGATAAAACAGGCAAGTTTAGCTCCATTAGCACTGATGAGTATACAGTAACTCTAATTTCAAAATTTTAATCTCTAACCCAGATTTCTCTGAAACCCATTTTTGTACATTCAATGATCTACTTGACATTTCCCCTTGGGTCCCTCACAGGCATCTCAAATTTACCATATCTAAATCTAATTCCTTAAAGTTGCTCCCCTTCTCATTTCTATTTTTTCCCAATCAACAAGTGACATCACTGTCCATTTTGTTGCTAGAATTCCTGCTTTTCCCTTATCCTCTTGTCTAATCCATTCATAAGTAATATTTCTGCTTCTAATCACCAACTCCATCCTAGACCTAGCTAACATGTTTCCTCATTTAGGTGGCTCACAGTCTTCACTGCTTCCACTACAGACTCCCTTGAATAGCTTACCTATCTAGCAATCAAAATGATCTTTTAAAAGCACATTATGTTATTCATTTCCTTACAATTTCGTAAGTTGCTTCCAAATACACTTAGAATAGTCCAAGCTTCTTGCCAAGCACCTGAATGCTCTGGCTCTGACTATTCCTTCAACTTTTACATTTTCCTCCTTGCTCACTCTTCTCTACACATACTGGCCTTCTTTTGGATTCTCTGCACATTCTGTTCCTTCTTCCTGGAAGATTGCCCAATAATCTTGCTCTTTTGGTTGCTTGCTTCTTCTGATCCTTCCAGTGTCATTTAAATGTCACCCCCTTGAAAACTCTCCCCTAGTATAGACTCCCCTGCCATTATCCTACATTACTTTACTATACAATTTTTTTATTACTGCCTATCTCTCTGTCCTATGAGCCCAGGGACCATAAACTTTTTGCTCATCACTGGTTATCCAGTGTTGTCACAGTGCCTGAAACATAGGATACTCCTAATCAATTGTGTTGAATGAATAAATAAGTGAGAAAAAGGGAAGGAGACAGGGTATAGTGAAAGAGTCATGAAGGCATTTTTTCCTTCACACTGTTATGTAAGATTAACAAAGCTGGAGAAGTAATTAATGAAAAGGACTGTATACCTACTTTGTGCAAGGCTGTGAGGAATACCAAGGTCTAAATAGTTCAGTACCTTCCTTACTGGAGTTTATAACATTTATGTGTAGAAGTTTGTGCATAGGAAAGTACACAACTGAAAATTTAGGTAACGAGATGGTATGACAATTTGAGAGCCATGAGACCACAGAATAAATTGTCAAATATATGACTTGAATGATCAGAATTTTGGAGTCCAGAGCAAATAAAAATCCCTTTGAGCGAGCAGGAAGCTTTCATGGAGAGAAAGGAAAAATGATCTGTTGGAGTTTCTGCCCTCTGCTGGTGCATATTTCCCTGACAATAGCAGGAAATGTTCAGAACTTCCCTGTCTCACTTTCACAGGGGACCTAGGAAGGGTTTCCCCTAGCAGCACCCAGTAGCTACTTACTGACACAAGGATTAATCTGCTTGCGGCTCCCAGCCAGAGGAAAGGCACAAGTTCAAGCTTGCCGAGAAAAGTAACTGGATGTGCTATTAGTAAGAGGCACACGTATTGTTTCAAACATGTCATTTTTTTAAATGCTTTAATTCAAACCAAAGATTCCTGTTGGTATTTGATTTTAAGATGAACTTTTTTTGCCCATTTTATCATGAGCTTAGGCTCATGGTAAAACTATTTAAAACATGTTATTCCATTTAAAAGTATCTCATTTTAAAAGGAATGATCATTAATAAAATTATCTAGTCTAGGTTTATTTCATAAAAAAAGCAAAGGATACAATTAATCTTTGTAATTTGGATTGAATCTAATATTACTGAGTTCTCAGTAGAAAAATATAAACATAAGTTAAATTTCTCCAGAAATTGATAACAGCAATGATTAGGCATCTAAAGAGGAACAGTTCTCTCAGCCCTATTAAAGTAAGAAGCAGAAAAAAAAGCAACCTCCCAAGAGGTTATCTTTTATGAAGTTTAGATTCAGGGAATAAAAGATATATTTAAGGGTTTCCTGTCGTAGGACCTCTCTATCCTTACCAACCTGAACATCTATATTCAGGGATCTAAGTAACTCAGGGTTGTCAATGCTACTTAATGTACTTAAGAATGCAAAGTTGAGAGCCAGATTCTCTGGGTTCATATGCCAGAACCACCACTTCCTATGCTACCTCAGATGTTTGCTTCAATGTCCTGAGTCCCAAGTTTCTTCATCTATACAATAGGGCTGTTAAGAATAAATAAAATACTTTCCTCCTAAGGTGGTGAAGTTTAAGCAAAGAAATTGATTCAATGACTACCATGTAGTATGGAGTTTAATACATGTAAACTATTATGAGTGGTCACACCAATACTGCACTGTACCTGAATATTCCCATTTTTTAATAGAGGTTGACTCTTCAGGGGACTATAATCCTGCTAATATCATTTTACTTTGAGTGGATTCTTGGTACTTAACCCTGATATGACAGAAACCTGATCCCTTCCCAAAGTGCCATTATGTACATAGTTTAAAATCTCAGACATTTACATAAAGTACGGGAGACCTTAAAATCAAATTTTCTTCCTTTTCCGTGAGAGATGGAAATAAAATAGCTCAGAGAAGAGTATTGAAATCATAAGTGACATAAATCAGAACTGATCCACACCCTGGAATGACCATCCACATAGGGGGAGTCACCACTGGGGGCTTCTGTTTCACATCTTGCTTCAAATTCCCATGGATTTCTCCATATACATGGCAACATGATTCGCAGATAAAACAAAACAATGTACTATCATCTTCTTCACTTTACTATACTGTCGATTCTTAATTCTTACTAACTTATTTACTCAAGGATTATTCATCAAACATTCACTGGGAGTTTACTGTGGGCCAGGCAATAGGCCAAACACTGAAGAAGCAAAGATGAATCAGACACACTCCCTGCCAACACACAGCTGAGAGTCTAGAGTGGAAAAGACACAACTGCTGACTGGTGTGATAAGTTCTGTAACAGAATCATACATGCAAGATGCTAGGTGGCCCATAATGGAGTGTTCATCTTTGAGGAGGGCAAGTCAGAGACAACTGAAGTTTCTGAACAATGACAGAAAGGTCATTGAAGAAATTTGCCTGAGAAAAAATGTGTATTGTAGGAAGAGGAAATTGAATGTGCAAAGTCCAGAGGTGTGAACCAGTTTAGTGGGATTAGGAAAGAGCAGATATGAAGATAGGCTTTGACAGTTGGGGTGTGGTGAGGGAGTGAAGGGCTGAGATTATGGAGCTCACACTGGGCTTGAAGCAGGAGTATAGCACACTCAGATTGTACTTTAGGGTTATCATTGTAGAGAGAAAAACCAACAGGGGGAAAGATAGAGTAGAACCACATAGATGTGGCAGTGAGAGGGCTGCTGCACAGGCCAGACACAAATTTCAAAGGAGCTGATTTTAGACCATATCTGTGAGTTTGAAGGAATGGAGATTGATTCAATATTTAGGAGGTAAAATCTATGGAGCATTGTTGTTAGTTTAGAAGGGTCATAGAGAGGGGGGAATCTTGTGGAGAGGGATGATATTCACTTTTCCCAAGAGATGTAGTAATGAGGAGCAAGATTTATCATGGAGGTGAGCCTTATGTAAACTTATATGGACTTGGAATTTCTGACTGCTGACTCTCAGTCCAGTGCTTGCTTTTTTATTATAAGACAGTACTTCAACAGTCTTTTGGGAATCAGGTCCGTTTAGAAGATCAGTTCACTGAACATCCAAAATCCATCAATAGTTCAGGCTGGAAGACTGAATAATAAAATGCTGATAGTATAGAGTGTAACAAAACTTATTCCCACACTTAGAACCAGTTGTGAAAGCCTGCCTGCCTCAGAAAGACAGTTAACAAGTATGGTGTCAGAGTCCCATGACAGTTGTTATTACATATTGTGTCAAATGCTGCAGTAATGGGATGATCTTTTTAAAAATCAACAAATTGGTATAGTAGACTGAATGCCATATTCAAGAATAAGGCAAATTTAGGTGAGTTTTCTTAATAGTGAGGATGTTGCTTTTAAAAATAACCAATACTTCTTTTAACAATAATTAAAATGAACATCATCAATAGCTCACTATTTACTAGGCAAGGTGTGACATGTGTGATATGCATTATTCATTTAATGCTCAAAACAGCTCTATGAAGTAGATGTTATTACCCTATTTTATAGAGGTCTAGGAAAGCTGAACGATTTTGTTAAGGTTATTTAGTTCTACAAAGATTAGAAAACCTGGTTTTGTCTTCCCATTGTGAATAAACCTGTTCACACATCTGGGAATAAAAAAAAAAATCCTTATCTTTGCCTCAACTCTAGATAAGATGAGGAGTAACATTTTTCTTAAGACTAATATTTCTCTTTTTTTAATCTTCTGATCAGATGTCTACGATATTTCGATGGCCTTCTAGAGGGGGTCGGTTTATCAAATCTCATGTTATCAAAATAAGGTATGTGAACATGGTTTGCGACTTGAAGCCAGTATCCTTAGGAAGCATTTGATGAACACAACTGCTCAGCCCCTCTGAGCAAATCTTTACAGGAACAGGAAAATTTCATTAAGTCCTGAGTAGCCCAGCTTATATACCACCTAGCCATTTCCCAGTCACAATAGAAAGATGTAAAGTACTCTGTGACAAGAAACAATGTCAGTTACTAGATTTTAAAAAAAAAAGGTAATCTCTAAAAGAAAAAAATACAGAAAGGGGAGGATGGTGCTGCTGACAGACCCTGTTCCTTTAGCTAGAAACTAAGTAGAATTTAAGCAAGTTCTTTCTGATTGTCCTCATTTTAAGCACACCCAACAATCAGACTGTGACTTCTCTGCAGTAAGGTTTTTCATAAATGCCATTGCATTTTTATTATTCTTTTAAATACTTTTTCATTTTTATGCTCTGATGAAAGGCAATGTACCTAAATTGAACATAACTTCTCAGAGAATAGAAGAAATTACTAGCATCCATCCTGAATATACTTTTCATGTGATATCCAAAAGGCTTGGCATTTACTGGAATATGGTGAGTTTTCTTAATAGTGAGGATGTTGCTTTTAAAAATAACCAATACTTCTTTTAACAATAATTAAAATGAACATCATCAATAGCTCACTATTTACTAGGCAAGGTGTGACATGTGTGATATGCATTATTCATTTAATGCTCAAAACAGCTCTATGAAGTAGATGTTATTACCCTATTTTATAGAGGTCTAGGAAAGCTGAACGATTTTGTTAAGGTTATTTAGTTCTACAAAGATTAGAAAACCTGGTTTTGTCTTCCCATTGTGAATAAACCTGTTCACACATCTGGGAATAAAAAAAAAAATCCTTATCTTTGCCTCAACTCTAGATAAGATGAGGAGTAACATTTTTCTTAAGACTAATATTTCTCTTTTTTTAATCTTCTGATCAGATGTCTACGATATTTCGATGGCCTTCTAGAGGGGGTCGGTTTATCAAATCTCATGTTATCAAAATAAGGTATGTGAACATGGTTTGCGATTTCAAGCCAGTATCCTTAGGAAGCATTTGATGAACACAACTGCTCAGCCCCTCTGAGCAAATCTTTACAGGAACAGGAAAATTTCATTAAGTCCTGAGTAGCCCAGCTTATATACCACCTAGCCATTTCCCAGTCACAATAGAAAGATGTAAAGTACTCTGTGACAAGAAACAATGTCAGTTACTAGATTTTAAAAAAAAAAGGTAATCTCTAAAAGAAAAAAATACAGAAAGGGGAGGATGGTGCTGCTGACAGACCCTGTTCCTTTAGCTAGAAACTAAGTAGAATTTAAGCAAGTTCTTTCTGATTGTCCTCATTTTAAACACACCCAACAATCAGACTGTGACTTCTCTGCAGTAAGGTTTTTCATAAATGCCATTGCATTTTTATTATTCTTTTAAATACTTTTTCATTTTTATGCTCTGATGAAAGGCAATGTACCTAAATTGAACATAACTTCTCAGAGAATAGAAGAAATTACTAGCATCCATCCTGAATATACTTTTCATGTGATATCCAAAAGGCTTGGCATTTACTGGAATACTTATCTTGTTTTCTACTTATTTTGATGAAAGTTTTTAAATACTTTCTGTGGGTATCAATCAATATGCAAATATATATATTTGTAATACTTATTTGTCTGATTCATTTCTTGATGATAAAGTAAATGTACATGTGGTTACTGTATGGTACATGATATGGTATATGCCTTTTCTTTTCTTTCCCTCTTCCCTTCCCTACTTTTGTTCCTTCCTTCTTTATATCTTTCTTTATATGTTTCAAATTGAATTTATTCTCAAAAGGCAACTAGGGACTTCCTAGACTTACACATTACAGTGTAAATTTATATATTTGAACCTCATATTGAAATATTTCCTTTTATAACCACTTTCTCCAATCATTCACTCATCAAACACATATTAACTGACCATCAAACTCCAAAATATAAGTGGTTTAGCACAATAAGGAATTATTTCATTTCCATGCTATAGTCCAGTCAGAGTGGCAGCAAGAGATATGGGTGCTGGTGGGGACTGTGGAATACAATTGCCTACTGCATCTTTTGTATCTGGTTGACAAAGGAAGAGTGGGAACTTGGAGGATGGCCTGGGAGGTTCTCAGGGGCCAGGCCTGGGAGGGGGGTATCATTTCTGCCCACAATCTGTTACCCAGAATCTACTAGAGAGTTTCCATAAACTGTAAGAGAGGCTAGGAAATGAAATCTAGCTCTGTGTTGATATACACATATGCCATCTATTAGGTTTCTGTAAATTTAGTGTGAATCTGAATAGGTAAAAACAGATTTTGAGAGCTGTTTTTATTATTACTACCTCTATTTATCTTCTTTTTTGCTCTTCAGTCCAGATGAACATGGTGTGAATATTTTTATGGTGCTCATATTTCGATATCCATCTACTCACAGTGTTGAGCAAATCAAGAAAACAATTGAAAGGATTTTATACCAAAGTCTGCAGACAAAAAGGTTGCCTTTGACTATAAACAAATCATCATTTACACTCACACGTAAGTCACCATCTTTGTGTTTCCCTCACAATCTTCTTTATTTTTCATAAGAATTTAGGTCAAGATATTCTCCTATTTTAAGAATTCACCACTGATATCACATATAAGTATGGAATAAAGCTAAAATAAAAATTCACTATGAGGCAAAGTTTAGTTTTAGGAAATTTTTTCATATTAGGTTAGAGCTTTCGCTAAAGTTTCTAAATTTTTCCTCATTTATTATTATCTTGGATCTCTTCAAAAGCACAAAAGGGTAGATATTATTTTGACTATTCTAAGGAAGCTGAGACTTAAGGAAGATAAAAGACATGGGACTAGGCAGATTTGGGGCCAAAACTAAAACACAGGCATTTTGACTCCCAGAGGACATTGCAGGTCAGCGCTGGGGGTTAGCTCTCAGTGAAATACAACTTTATGAAGGCTTACCCCTGCAGGAAGAACCATTGACATGATCTTTGAAGAGGTTCTCTAGCTTAATTCCAATTTAAAATAGCTTTTCGTTGATTTCCTTATGTATTTCTCACAAAACAAAAATCAGGGAAGTTGTTCAGTTTTCATCCTAAAGTAGAAGAAAATGAAGTTCCAAAGGTTAAGCAACTAAAACTGAAACTACCTCACTGCTAGTTGAATTGCTAACTGAGAGGCGTTTCTGTTTTTCCACACCAACACATAATTAGAGATAGTAAAATACTGTGTTTCAAATAAAATGGTTAGCACCAAGGTCAGGCCCTAGCTCTTTTTGTTTCCTTATCCCTTGCCCCAAGCTTGCATATATATCTGGTGCTCCCAAAGAAAGCAATCAGGATATTTATCCTTACCATTCTTTCCTAATTTTCTAATTTCTTTTTCTTGTTCAATAGCAAAAATTAGAAAGACAACAAAATGTCCTCCTTTATTTTAAAGTAAAATTATGCCCTCTTGAAATATGGATGCTTTGGATTATAAGAATTTCTTACCATGATCATTTTAACAAAATCACACGGAAATAGAAACATATTCTTCTACTAATCCACATTTTGTTTATCCCAGATATTAACAGCAAAAACATGAGGAAACTTCTCACCAACCGTAAGTTTCAAAACTCACAATTAACTATCTCATGGCAAAGGTAATGAATAAGAGCCACAGAAAATTTAAAAGTAGAATTTATCAAGCTTTTTTGTCCACTGTATGTTTTTGTAAACCACTTTGTGTTTTTATTATTGTTCTGTTTTTTAAATAATTAAGCATTTAAATTAACCATTTAAATATATAAATTTACACCAACACAATTTTGTTTTATTACTTCTGGAATGTAGTAAAAAATTACATATATTCCTGATAGTACAATATATTTAATTATATTTCTAACATTCTATTTTAATATTTTCTTTAAATATTTATCTTTTAACATTCTTTCACAATTTAAGAGACAGTTTTAAAGCAGTATCTAGTTAGGCTTTTTCCCTGTTAAAATTTCTCAGTTTTCTTGCATTTTTGTTGACCTATCTGGCATGTACATTTTCTGCTCTCCCCCTTCCATTTCCTTTATCTTAATGTCCTATGGGATTACTGGATCATAAACGTTCCCCTATAAATTGTATACACGTCATTCTATTTTCTTCCTGTGTTTTGTTGTAGAGTGGAAGTCTAAGGCTGCTACAATTTTTATTCTTATGTTGGCTATCTTTTTTGTTCCTGGATGAATGTAGGAAATCTTTATCCTATAACTTCTTGCTAAGAGATCTAGATGGAAGAATGTTTTGCACTGAATTTTGACTAGGACTCTATAAGCATTTTCAATCTGTTTTTGGAAAAATGTTCTATTATAAATTTGATGATTGTGTTTCAACTGTTTTTTTTTTCCTTCTTCTTTAGGAACACAGTTTATTATTTGAACCCCCTTTTCTGCCCTCTATATCAATCCTTATTTCAAGTTCCAGATCAGGTTACTTTCCTCTGCATTTTAAACAATCTTATCAAATTTGTACTCCTGAAAACCACTTATCTCAGTTGTCTGGTGTCACTTTTTCTCTTTAATTCTTCCGTGTGGATTTTATATCTGCTATGACATTTCTGTGATTTCTTGAATCCTACATAATTACATAAATAATTGTTGTACAGCTCTTCTGCTGTTACATGTGTTCTTATCACAGCATAGTTTTCCCCTTATAGTTGACTTCTTTTGTTACGTTGAGATCATTTTTCTTGCATATCTTTGTTGATACCAAGAATATGTGTCTTAAATTTTTTGTAGTACCTTTCAGAGATATGTCTATCTTTTGAGTTTATATTTCATCTGACTTGGGGGGCCCTAACCATGCTATGCAGTTAAATGCAGGCTTAAGTACTGATCTCCAAATAGAGTTTATGAAAACATCAACAGTCCCCTTTGCATCACCGGTCACAGCACTCACGGCAGTGACTCCTTTGTCTGTTTAAATTACTTTTCATGAGGTATCTTGGTCCATTTTTGGTGCTATAACAAAATACCATAGGCTGGGTAGCCTTTAAGGAATACAAATGTATTGCTCATGGTTCTGGAGGCCGGAAGTTCAAGATCAGGGTGGTTGAGTAAGGGTGAATCACAGACCTGTATCCCCACATGGCGGAAGGGGCTAGAGATCTCTCTAGAGACTCCTGTAGAAGGCACTAATCCCATTCATGAGGGCTCCACCCTCAGGACTTCAGCAGCTCCCAAAGGCCCCACCTAATACCATCACCAAAGGGTTAGAATCTTAACATATAAATTTAGGAGTTCACATTCAAACCACTGCATGCAGTAACTACATTTTCATAGAATTTCTTACTTTTCCAGTATCCCTAGATAGGATGGTGTGCTAAGAAGTGTGTCTTCTGAATACACACATAAAGAAAGAGTTGGTGGGCCACAATAGGATGACTCAAAGATTGGCTGGGGACAAATGCAGTGGCTTTGTAAAACTTTTGGGGGTTCTCTGTACAATATTAATTCACATCTTAGACCATGGGTAGTCCATGAAGTTGCTTTCAAACCCACCAGATATTGCAATTATGAGTAGTTCTACCAGGATTTATAATGTTTTCTGATCTTTCCTTAAGTTTTGGTGATTTTGTTCCTTTGCCTTTGAAAAATAACAAAGACTCAAATTTTTCATCTGCAATATGAAGATAAAAGTCCTAACAGAGAGAATTGTTGTAAAACTTAGAGAAAATATATGTAATACCATGAAGAGGGCCTGGCTCATAACAAACAGGCATTATTTATGTTATTATTACATTCATGTATATTTTAAGGGGAAGTTGGGAGAAGAAGTATTAGACACTACTAATAATGTACTATATTAACCTAGAAATGCTGTATGTTCAATTATATGGTCCCTTTAAGCTGAAGCTGTTTAACCCTGAGGGAATTATGATGAATTTATACATATGATTTCAGATAACTATTTTTTATCTGTTTCTGAATAAAACTCCTTTTTTTAAGAAACATATTTTTAATAAACATATAAATAATTAAAAGGTACATTAATAAAGTATCCCAGTATACTTTCAAGTCTTATTTAAAGGTTGATTTGAATTTAAACAATTGATGGTTTGTCAGGGAATCATACTTTTTAAAAAACAGTTCTTTCAAATTTTAGAAATCTGAAAAAGGTCATTATTGTTTAAGACTGTTTAAATTCAAGGCTTTCAAGGACAATGTGTATATTCACATCAAGGGAGAATCATAGCATACATTCAGTACTAGGCCATCTCTCAGTAATAAGAATACAAGCTTTGATATGGATCCTCCTAATTTTATATCCAACTCTATCATTTACCAGCAGGGTGACCACTAGCAATTTATGTTCTCCTTCCAAGGTTCAGTTTTCTCATCTGAAAAGTGTGTTGCTGTTCATGCATCTAAAACATGTAGCAAGGGATCTAAATATTTTTGGCACTCAATAAATTATTTATCTAGCTATCTGTTTATCCATCTCTATATGCATTTTATAGAGAGAAAGTTCATTTCTGGACTGGATACCTTGAAATGTTAGTAAATATTTCTTCTGAACCTCAATAGTATTAGTAGGATTTTTGTAGGGTAATGTTAGTGTCTGAGTGCCAGGACTAGGTTAAAGAGTAGCAGGCACAAGGATACAGTCAATGACCTTATGGAAGAAAGGTTGAAATATTGATGATACAAGTGAGGGTATGAAGAATGTAGGAGAATAAGGAGAGTATGAAGGATTGTCTACCTGCATCCAGTGCAATCAGGATATGCTTTACCTCCTCCTTTTCATGAATACGCACTCATGTATATTTTTGCAACAGGCTGTGGAATAAGGCTGACATCTTCAAAAATGCCATTACCAGCAATCTCTTCTACTGAAAGGATTGCCCATGGAAGGGAAACAGCCATGGAAGGGGAGTGGCCATGGCAGGTCAGTCTCCAGCTCAGAGGGGTAGGCCATCAGTGTGGTGCCACCCTCATCAGCAGTACGTGGCTGCTCACAGCAGCTCACTGCTTCCGCAGGTAAGTTCACCAGGGCTGTTGGGAGTCTTTCCCCAGTTATCACTTGCCATTGATTCATCTGATTCAATATCCTCTGCTCCATTCAGGATGTACCCTGCTCTGTTCCCTAAATGGGTTACACTTGCTTTATGCCCTGATCATGTTCTTCCTCTCTCCTTTTTCTCAATATCTGTGATGTTAGGTTTGTATCATTATTATGTCTCTGACCATATGTTTTCCTGTATTATGACACTAGTGTTATCATTCCTACTATATCATGAATTATTTTAATATAAAAGCTATTATGTAAGGAGTTTAAACCCTTCCATATACTCACGGAGAAAATTCAGGTGCTTCTGTTTTTTTTAAATTAATCCCTTTATGCCTTGAAATGTTAGTAAATATTTATTCTGATCTTCAATATCTGTCAATAGCTACCATCACTTTGTAAGTAAGAAAAAAATCAAAGGTATTACTCTTGAAGCTCTCCCTTCCAACTCTATTATTTAAGAATGCATGTGGGCTTGTGTGGTCCAGAGAGGTGTATAGATGGTGGAAGAGCCCTGCCAGCCTGTCTTACTGCCCTCACAGTATTGAGAACTGGTCATATAGAACCTGACAGGCAAGCTTTGCTGGGGCTTTCACAGTTGTAGCTTTTAAAATGCAGGCTTCTCACTGCCCCAGGAGATCGAGGACACACCACCTTTCCTCCCTGAGGGTTCACCACCAGGGCACAGAAAACTTTTCTTTTAAACCCTCAAAAGACAAAAACTCTGAATAAAGCCCTGGATGGTGGCATTGTTCACACACCCTTCCAGAAGAGATGATCCTTGGTAACACTAGGTGGCTCTTTACCATCCTTCTAAGGGTAACACCAAATGGTTCCAAGATGCCTGTACCTTTCCTTATGGGTAGAAGTGTAATGGTAATGACCTGAGCGAGTTGAGATGATTATCTGTCACTCTCCCACTAGAGAAGAGAAAAGAGGTTCATTTGTACATATTTACAACCCCCCCCCCACAAAGAACTAGCATCATGCCTTAAGGGAACTTGAGTCCCACTAATTTGTTAAGAGTCTCTAATTTTTTTCATGTTTACATAGTCCTCCAATCTTCCCACTTGTTTTTGAGAGTGTCCTCCATTTTAGTTAATAACGGACCTCTATTTATTAAAAATTTGAATTAAATTAAAAAGTAATTAAATTTTAAATTAAAAGTAAAAATAAACCCTGAGTGTCATTTTATTACTATTTAATGAAGAATGTAAGATACAGTGATTTAAATACATCTTTTAGAAGGTCCAATGCCGTCTGTGTGCTGACGGACATACATGGGAATTGGCCACTGAGCTCTGCAAAGTAAAGATAACTGGTGACTTTCATAAGAGAACTTTTAGTGGCATGTTTTGATGGAAGAATTGGATGCAGTAGTTTAGATGCCAGTTTCAGGGAGCTTTTAAGTGAATGGGAGCAGAGAAATTTGACAGCTAAAGATAGTTGTGGACTCGGAAGTTTTTTTTTTAATGTGAAAGATACTATATTTTAGATCAATATTAATAATCAAAAAGAGTTGGGAAAAGCCATGATCCTGGAGAGAAAGGGTTCAGTTTTGGAGGTGATATAATTTCCTGTAATTGCACAATGAATGTAGTATTAATTATGGTAAAGGAAAACTATAGAGTACTGTGAAGACAGTATAATTATTTAAATAGTTTTACACTTTTTGTAAGTGTGTTTTTTCTACAGAAATAGTGTATGTTTTTAAATCATGTTTAAGACAAATTTCAGTATCTTTATGTCCATGAAAAATGACTCCAGTCTTTGTGAAACAGTGTGGGTGGAGGAAAAGTTCTTGACAAGTCATCTGGTGAACTGGCCATCTCTCTCTGACACTAACCAGCTGGATATGTCACTCACCTGGGCAAGCCATTTGCCTTTTGAGTCTCTCAGTGTTCTTATCCACAAAGCGTGTTGAACTGGGCCTATTACACAAGGCTTCCTTTCTGGTTGACAATGCATGAAGGAATGGGGTATTTCTATTTTGTCTACTCAGTTAGTTTACAAGCTCCTAAGGACAGAGGTCACATATATGTTCGTATTTCCTAGAATTCTAGTTTTCAAGTGAATGCTTCAGTCCTAAAATTTCTGCTTCAAATAAAATCTTCCTTTAAAGTGTAAGTAAAATATCCCTTTTCATCTCCCTAGGTCCTTGGCCCCATTTCCCCAAAGTCTCTGCCTGCCCATCCCTGGGGCAATGCAGAATATTTTGAAAACCACTAATCTTTCAGGTTTTTCATTGCACTTAGTTCATGATTCACCAACACAACAATCCCGCACAAATGAGGGAATCCCCTTTTTGAATTCTCTCTGTGATTTCCTTCTACCTAATTTCCCTTTACACAGAGAACTTCAAGTTTCTATACATTTCTAGTCACTCTTGATGGCGATAATTAGAAAAAAGAAAGAACCAGGCTTTGGGGAAGAATAGGGAAGTAAAGAGCCAGAAAGTGAGTTATAAATAAGAATGGCTGGAGTGTCTGATACTGAAGGAAAATGCCTCTTAGAATATATACTATCCAAAACAAATCAAAATCAATTTCTACACATTAAATTGAAACTACAGAAGAAAGAGAATCTGAAGAGTGATTTCTAACAAATGAAGAATTAAAAGATTGGGAATTAATTGTAAAGTAACCATTATTATTGTTAATCCAAGTAAACCATGGGAATTCCATTTAGTTGCTGTGCTCTTTACAATTTTATAGAATGGAAAATGTTTTTAAGGGCTTTCATGCTCACCTAAACCTTTAATACTTAACCTTTTTTCCATAAGGTCATTGTCTGCATATTCCCCAGCCATAGGGATTTTTCAGGAGTATAATCCTAATAGGTGGGGAAATATACAGACTCAATCTTTTCTAAAGGATACAGTTAAGCATCACACATCTTTCTCTGTAATTTATTGCAGAACTAAAGACCCAAGTCAATGGATTGCTAGTTTTGGTGCAACTCTAGCAATGCCCTCCGTGCAGCGAAGTGTGGGGAAAATAATAGTTTATGAAAATTACCATACAGAAACAAATGAAAACGACATTGCTTTGGTTCAGCTCACTAAGCGAGTGGAGTTTTCAGGCGCAGTGCAGAGAGTCTGCCTCCCAGATTCATCTCTGAAGCTGCCACCTAATACAAGCGTGTTCGTCACGGGGTTTGGATCCACCGTAAATGATGGTGAGCAACTCAACCTATTTTATTTAGTACAGGTTTGTCTTAAGGTCTAAACTGTTTTAGGGAATCACTCTTCAGACTTCTCACAAAAATAATGCTGATGTTCCCCAGGTATATGGCCCAGAGCAGAGGGGCTGTGGACTAAAAAGTATAAGGAATCAGGGCTTCATCTTTGAGGGGTTCACAGATGATTGGAGCAGTGGTGAAAAAGGGGAGAGGCAAATACAGACGAAAAGAGCAGACTATTTTAGGTGCTATAAGAAGGGACAGAATACTGTGAGACTGCAAGGGAGTAAATAATTCCACATTATTTCCCAGATGTAAAAATTCCTAGTTATTATATACTTCAAGCTACAATCTTAGTGATCTTATTCTTTTTTTTTTTTGTCTAAATCCTCCCTCATTTTAATAAGGATTTATGATGATCATAAACAAAAAACACTTTGTGAATGTTTTAAGAATTTTCATTTTGGTTAGTTGATGGAATATGTTTTTTACCCCCTCTGTCTGAAGAAAAATGTATTTTCATCTCCTGGGGGGTAAAAGATACCAGTTCTAAAATTTTATGAATTGAAGACCAGAACTTAAGATTTCTAGGCCCTAGTTCATTCTGCACTAAAGAGAGAAATTAATTGACTGTTTTAAGATGGGAAATAAGAAATGTTTAAGGTTCTGTCAAGGATATCCTGAAGAAAGTAGGAGACAAATGCTAATATATCTTAATCTAGCTTTTTTTCTTGGCAGCACTCTATTATATATGAAATTTCCCAAATAGCTCATGCATCTCCAACTTGACTGTGCTAGAGGTGGTTCTAAGTCTCCTTGGGTGCTCTCTTCCCTTACCACTACTAGCTCAGGGCTGCTCACCCACAGCTTCTACCTGGAGCCCTGAAGTACTTCCCCTCCCATCCTCAATTCTGTGGGTTCCTCTTCTCCAGACCCCTGTAACCCTGCTCTGTGCTGCCATCAGGTTGCCAGCACACATTGGGAAATGGTTCTGTTTACCACGCTTGAAGACACACCTAAGTAACACAGTAGAGCATAACTCAGGGCAAACAGACTGTGCAGTATCCTGGTTTCTACCTGAATGTCTTTTGGAAACCAATGAGCTTCCCTGAATCTTGATTTCCTTATATGGAAAAATATGCCTGTTGGTCAAGATCCATGATCAATGTGATGAACCCTCTCCTCACAAAAAAATATTACATGTAGTTTAAAGGTTTCCAGTAGCTTGAAGATTCACAAGTATATTTTATCAGTACATGTGTGTTTATGATTTCTTGAAAGTAGACATTTATGGTACAGAATATAAATAAAATTGGGCAAAACTTAATGTTAATACAATAATCTTATGCTGCTTTTGCTCTAGGAATATACAATTTTATGTGTCTTCCATGTTTGAGATACAGTTGTATTCAAAGAACACATTTTGTTTGTGTGTGTGTATGTATGTGTGTGTGTGTTTATGTAATAGGACCTATGCAAAATATACTTCGACAAGCCAGAGTGGAAACCATAAGCAATGATGTGTGTAACAGAAAGGATGTATATAATGGTCTGATAACTTCAGGAATGTTATGTGCTGGATTCATGGAAGGAAAAGTGGATGCATGTCAGGTGAGTCCACAGTTAAGGGTAAACCTTTAAAAGGAAAGTTTTCATTTACTGTTTCTAAATTTGGCACATATTTCACTGAGAAGAAAAAAATGGCAACTATTTCATCAAGAATTCAGTGTATTTAATACTCCTAATGATACAAATTATTGTGTTGAGTGTTTCCTTTGTGTCAAGCGCTAAGCACTTTGCATACATTATTTCATTTGATAATACAATATCAAAGGGTGCTGTAATTATCCCTATTGCACAAATCCAGAAATTAAAGTCTGTTGCTCCCTAATTCTGGTTCATACAATTACTCTCATGCTCTATTGTTATTTTCCAAAACAAAATTGAAAACAGAAAAACAGAGGATCCTGTCCTCTGACAACCATTTTATTCCGCTTCAGCATCTTCTCTCATGCATCCTGTTTTTGTCCCACAGCCTCCAAATCTCTCTCTTTGGCCCTGTCATTCTTCAGTGACACTGACACTGAAACAGGCTTCTTCTCCATCCCAAGGCCTGCAGAATGAACACTGACCCTTAAATGCTGGGTTCCCAGATCCCTGACCTCCTAACCTCCAGCGATCTTCACTCCTCCTTAGACACCTCTTCCTAGGGTCACATCTTGAGCCTTCTCAACAAAAACTGTCCCATCTCTAAAAACACTATTTACCCATATCTTTCTATTAACAAATATCCCCAATTTTTCCTGCTTTTCAACTACTTTTGCTTCCCTCACCACACTAAATTGCACTTCAACCTACCAACTCTCACCTCCTGACACACACAACCTACACATATACCCTCTGTGTCCCTTCTCTGTTTTATTTTTCCCTTCAGCTCCTATCACCACCCAATATCCAATACATTTTATTTAACTGGTTTATTGTCTGTCTCTTCCACTAAACTAGAATGTAAGCTTCATGAAGGCACAGATTTGGGGGTTTATTTTATTTACTGCTGTACTACCAACTCCTAAAGCAGTGCCTGGCACAAGTATTTGTTGGGTGAATAAAATATCACATTTCTTCAGCTTCATAGAAACCAGCAGAGCCATTACTTCTCTGCTTTCTCACCTTCCATTAATCCTTTCCTCCATTCTGTAGCTGCTCATCCAGCTTAGATTTCACTTTCAGTCTCTCTCTTCCTTGCTTCCCCCACCTCTGCCCCATCTTCATAACTACTTTAGCCTTCTAGCTCATTTCCCAATATTCCCTCTTCTGCTCCTTAGTGTATTAGTCAAACGAAAGCCGGGATGATTTCTAACAAGATGTTAATCTGATCACATTAACTTCCTCCTTAAAACACTTCAGTGATTTACCGTTGGTCTTGAGATAAAAAGCTCAACCTTCTAGCCAGAGTCCCCAGGGCTCCTCATGGACTAGTCCTCACTTCTCCAGCCTCACCACATACCACGGGGCTCCTTATTGTCTTCTCTTCAGCCCCCCTTTCTATGAGGCCCTTGCTTGTTCCAGGCTCTTTTATGCCACATAGCATTTGCAATGCTGTTCTTTCTGCCTAGAACACATTTCATTCCCACCCTCCTTTTGATGGTTCTGTCCTCTTCCTTTAGATATCACTTAATTACATCACATCAGGGGAAATTTTCCTGACCTCCCTGACTAGTCACATTCTCTTATTTGTTTCTGTAGCACTGATCACAGTTGTCATTTTGCATTTATTATGGGCTTATTTAATATTGGCTTTTTAACCCAAACTGCAAGCTCTGTGAGAATAGGGACAATTCACATTTGGTCCTCATTGTATCCTCCATGACCATCAAAATGTCTGAGACACATCATTGGAACTCAATAAATAGTTAATAAAAGAATAAATAAATAAATGAGGTGGAAGAGACACATAGAGGTTAAGTATCTTACCCTAAGTCACACAGCCAGTAATTAACAGAGCTGGGCCTGACACTTGGGCAGTTCAACTACTGAGACCACATATGTATGTATCTGTTTATTTACTTAATTGTTCTTGCCCCAAAACAGATTTAAGGGGGCTTATATAAAGTCCAGCAAGCAAGCATAAATTAGACTTAAGTAAAAAAAAGAAAAGGAGACCAAGAATAGGTCCCTGACATACAGTCAAGCTAATAATATTCAGGAGAGATCATTGAAACTTTCCACCTTAGCCCACAAATACTGACTTCATATACACATGCATACTAAACCAAGCAAAAAGTATCTAATCAAACTAGCACACACACACACACACACACACACACACACAAAATCCAAGGATGCTGAAACAGAAATAATGTAATAATTGCATATGAATGAGTGTTAGCCTTTTCAGAAAACAACACATTTTAAAGCTTAGGATAAAATTTTTAACTCAAGTGAGAGAAACATTGTATTATCTATTTCTAATCAGGCTGCATGTTCCATGTACCAACTTCCTTTTTTTCTGTGGAAGAGAGGTGAATACAATGATCTTCCTACTGAGTTAGAGTTAAAAGTTTTAAATATGTTTTGTTTTTTCCCCAGGGTGATTCTGGTGGACCTCTGGTTTACAGTGATCATGGCACTTGGTACCTTGTTGGTATAGTAAGTTGGGGACGATCATGTGGTCTTCCCAAGAAACCTGGGGTCTACACAAGAGTGACTCGGTACCGAGACTGGATTGCCTCAAAAACTGGCATCTAGTGCCAACTGTCCTTGAATTATATCCATGGTACATGGAGCTGAAATGCTTGAGTACTGTGTACTATTTATATTCATGTGGTCTGGATCAGTGCTTTTGCTGGGTGTCAAGAAATCCTTCAGACTCTGACCAGTCTACTGTCATGAGGTGGCCTTTGAGTGCAGGCGGCCAAGCTCTCTCTCTACTCTGAGGGAAGAAGACACAGCAGATGGTAAATAGCACCCACTCCTCACTCTCCAGGGAAACTGGGATGCTTATCAATGAGATGAATATTTATCGACAGTTTACCCCAGTGGGAGACAGGGAACATCATTTTCCACCAGAATATGAATTGCTGCCAGGGCTGACAAAAACTTACCTCATGTAATACCTGGAGCACCTGTGACTCTCCCAGCAAAACACCCAACACAGGTCCTATCTGAGGACTCAGAGCAGCGACACTGTAGGACCTGTACGTGGACATTCGGTGCCTGGAAAGGAGAAGCATGGGACTTACAATACAACTTGAACACCTGGTTTTAAACAATAATAATACAGAGCATTATCACAAACAAGAGTTGCCATTGAAAAGTTGTTTAAATGTATCTGAACTTGCTGTTAACATTCTTATGTACATGGGCACTAGCTTCAGGATGCATGTTGCATTGTTAAGAAACATTTCTGATTAATTCTTTAACATCACCTTACCATCCATACAGCACTTAGAGGCAGGCCAGAAAAGAAAAGAAAAGACTCTTGGGAACATTTTTCCCTGTGTACAAGGCAAACAGAACTGATGGGACTCAGGCTGGCAAAGTTGGTTTCAAACGATTCGTATCAGGACAGACACTCCAGATTTTTTGGTGGAATGATCAATCCAGTTAATTATTTAGAAACATTTACAACAGCATATGGTAATTGTTGCTTTTTTAAGTCTTTAGCTCTCTGAAAGTTCAGATGTCTATCAGAATATCAAGCTCAGAGAGTTGGTTTGTATAAAGCACTTAGGAGAGTGTCTGGCATACATTAATCACTATATAAATGTTTCCTAGAATAGAAAGGAATGTTTCTGTGAGTTTTAAGATAAATTACCTTAATTTGTCAAATGAGTAAATGACTTTGGGGTTGAAATACAGTCCAAAATTCATTAATGAAGAGCATAGGCTTTGGAACCTGGCTGCCCCAGCTTGAATGTTGGCTCTGCCAAGTATGAGCTGTGTGTCCTTGCACAGTTTTCCTAACATCTCTGTGCATTAGTTTTTCCATCTCTACAATGGGAATAAATATAGTATCTACCTCATATCATTGTGATGAGGGTTAAATGCCTTAATATAAGTAAAGCACTTGGAACTGTGTCTGCCCCCATAGGCCTCAATGGGGACTAACTATTGTTAATTATTATTAAGGTGCTTTGGACTCAATAAAACAATATACCTTTTTAAACCTGTCCTTCCCTTAAAATCATGTAACTGATTTAAGAATTTACATTACATTGATAAAAATAAAGACTAGGTGAACTACTAGATTTTCAAAATCACTTTTTACTTCATATATTTTGCACTGTTTGCTCATGAACAAGCAGTCTCGGGATGCGTGATCATCTCTCACCAGGGTTATGACTACAGAGGTGCAGCTGTATTCATCTTCAGGCCTGCAATGTGAGAAATCAAGTGCTAGATCTGTTGCTGTAACTTATCAGAGAAAGACCTAGTCTCTCTGTTTTGTTAATGACTGAAAGTTTTGATAATTCATAAGTATTTGTATGTAATATATGTAAAACAAGTTAAAAACTCCTAGTTATTATTTACATCTCAATATTAAGATATTACAAACACAAAAGGGCCCATGCATCCATTCACCGCTCCCTTTAAAAAGAAAATATGACTGAAGTTTTGAGTTCATGACTACCAATAAACATGGACAAAAAAGCAGAGTAAAACACTTAAGTCCTTATACTTCCTCCTATATGCAGAGAAACATCCAAAACTTTCTGGAGAATATTTAGTATATTCAAGATGAGCTAGATTGATGATAGGGCTTTTTTATATTAAGGTTCAACATATTCTTTGGTGAAAGCAGGAAAAGAAATCTGTCTATAAAAATAATTTTCTGCTCTGTAAGTTTTATAACAATGAATATGTGATTTCATGTAACTATATTTATATTTCATAAGACTGTGATAACTTTTTGCATATCTCTGTGAAACTGTATAAACTGATTTAAGTAATTCTATGCTAAGTTTATTTCCATTCAATGACATTTTAATATAAATGGGAGAAATAAAACAAAAGGTCATAAGTAAATCTGAGAAAAGGAGAAGTGGATTTTTTAAATAGGATTTATATGTTCTATTTTTAGTTTGATTTCTGAACTATTGTTACAGGAATCCTGCAATACTTTTCACCTCTTGTTTTCCATCTGCCAAGTGGAACATTAAGCTATCTACCTCATGGGATTGTTGTGAGGCTTTCCTTTTGAATGATAAAGTTGGAAAGTCAAAGCATGTTTATAACCTGCCCAAAAAATGCAGGGATAGTATGTAAATTGATATCAGTACAGCTAATGCTGTGGATGCATTAAGAGTGTAAAAAAAGTGTTGTTTGTTTTTTTACAGTGTAGGCATTTTATTTATCAGTAGAATGGCTTTGTGAATTTTGTGAATATATTGTGGTTAAAACAAACCAACAAACCTGGGCTTGGCCTCCTGTGTTGTGAATGCTACAGTAATATTCACATCTGTTCAGAGTAAAAAGGACCTCAATTTGTCTGGCTCATTACTTTAAGAGATAGGTCAAATCCATTAGGTTAACAGCAAACAAAACAGTACGTAAGCCCTGTGGAATCCTGATGGAATTTTGGGTGCCACAAAAACTAAAGGGTTAGATTTTAGTGCTAGAATAACATTGGACCAAATTTTGCAATTCTTAACTATTTCTCAGTGAAATTCATGATTCAACCACAGTAAGAAAACTGTTATTTTAAAATGCAGTTTTGTAGTCAAGGAGCTTATGCAGTTAGATCTTTCTTGTTCTACCCCCAAACCTCAGGATCCTCTAGATGTCCCCTGTTATTGAGGCCAAGCTCATGGCACTCACCATACCACATGCCAATGAGTCAAGAGAAAGGTACTGAGGCAAGGAAAGTGACTTTATTGGAAAGACCAAAAAGATGGCAGACTCATGTCCTAAAGAATCATCTTAACTCAGAGTTTATTTCAATCTTCCCTAAGGGAAGGGGATCAGGAGGTGGCAGTCAGCTCAGACAGCTGGAAGTCAGCAAGGGTCTGAGCAGGGTTGTGGACTCCTTGCCCTTGGTCAGCTGACTCCAGTCGGTTCGTTGGCATATGTCTGGCCATGGTGTTCCACTAAGACCTTGACAATCCAGTCATCATTTTTGTACATATTTATCAACTCAGGGGAGGAAAGTTTTGGATAAGGGATTAGTTGCATAAATCTGGAGTCTGAGCAAAATTCCTTTTGGTGATTAACAAGTCTACATTCAGGGCTGCAGGGCTGAACAGAAGCTTTTTGACCCAAAGAGTAAGGCAGCAAAGGGGATGGACACAGCATGAAGGCAGAGATGCCACTTTTCACTCAGTTATACTCCTTTTAAATATTTCAAGAAAGAGATATTTCATAATAATTTCATAATAATAAATGCATAGAATTGCCATCCTAAGGGTTTTAATAACTAGCCTCATGGTAAAAAAATAATTAAGAGCCTTTGAACTATAGGGTAAAGACAAGAATCCCATTTTCTTCATGTATAGAAGTTTCATGATCATACTCTTTGTATTTTGCATTTTAATCTCCGTCTTGGTTTCTTCCCTTTTGCCATTCTTCACATTAGCTCTTTAAAAGGACTTGTAATGCTCTAAACACACTATGACATCACAGGCACAAATGAATCCCTTTGCATAGAAGCTCTCCTTCATTATCACTTTAGCAAGCATGCTTTCTGAAACTGTTGTACAAACTGACCACATCCCCAGAGAATGTGAATGTTAAAGTTTCAGTAGCATTATTAAACATGTAGTTTAAAAGACTGTATCTTTAGAAAACAATCATTGTTTTGGTACTGTGGTAAACAGAACTCTAAAGTGGTCCTCCAAGAACTTCTACTCTAATCTCACTGTGAAAATGAAGAGATATCATACCCACAATTATGTTACATTATGTGGCAAAAGGAATTTTATTGATATGATTAAGGTTACTAATCAATTGACTTTGAGTTAATCAAAAAGGAGATTTTTCCAGGTAGGTCTATTCTAATTCTTTAGAAGTAAAGAATTTTCTCTTCCTGATAGCAGAAAAGTCAAAGAGATGCCAGATGTGAAAAGATGTACTATGGCTGGCTTAAAGACAGAGGAGACCATTTATCAAGGAATGAAGAAAGCCTTTAGGAGCTGAGGGCAGTCCAGACTGAGAGGCAGAAAAGAAACAGGGAACTTAGTCTTCCTGGAAGCAACTTAATTCTGCCAACAGCCTGAATGAGTTGCGAAGTGATTTTTCACCACAGCCTCTGGACAAAAATGAACCCAGCTCAGTCCACACCTTGCTTTCAGCCTTTAAGACACTAAGCAGAGAACAAAGTTGAGTTTACCTGGACTTCTGACCAACAGGTAAAAATACGTAATAAATTACTGTACTTTTAAGTGACCATGTTTGTTGTAATTTGTTACACATTAATAGATAATTGGGAAAGGTATAGAATTTTTACTTATTAGCCAATATGAACATTTGTCTAAACATTCCTTTATTAATCATAATTATCATTATGTTCCTGTTTTGCCAAAAACTTTTTTTCAAAATAAAAGGATGGAATATGAATGTGAATATTGATTGTCAAAACACTCAATAAATATTGAATGTGAAAATGTTTGTAGGGGTGCTGGTAAGTGCGTTCATTCAAAGACATCACAGTTTCTGGCCTCAAATCTTTTCTTATTTTTAAATGGGTATATAAACCTGAGAATAGACACAAATGACTTCAGAGTAGACACAAATGACTTACTGTGCCAGACAAAATGAGTACATGTATAATTACACTAAAACAAGCAAGTCAAGGTTTATCAAATATTTTATGAAAATCTTGTTCCACGCTGGCCTCTGAAAGACATGAATGAAAGGGCCTGAAGACCAGTCTTGTACTGACTCAGAGCAAAAAAAAAAAAAAAGAACAATTTATAAATAAGAATATAAAAAAGTGAGATGTAAATAATGCTAATATTTTTGTATTTTAATAGATTTGGATGGAAGTTTATAGAAAATCTTAAATGTTTTTAGCTCCCACTCTGATCCAGCTGCATTTTTCTACATTTTGATCATTAATTCTTTGTGTATAAATATAATGTCAATTAGTACAAATTACTCAAGATACTGAGGGAATTAAAAATGTGTTTTCTAATTATGTTTAACCAGAGCTGCATAATTTCCTTCACTGATAATAACTGGATACTGTTTATAAAACTCAATTAAACACATGGATTTCTGGGCCACAGTCCCCTCAGCAGATTTAGTTCTTTACAATCATTCAAAATGTACCCCTTTCTGCCCCGTAACCATAAGACTACAAATTAAGGTTTAGGTTGTTGAAAAACCATACAAAATAAACAAAACATACTTTTCACACTTAATTGATCTTATTTCTAGAACTAGTACACATTAGGATTTACTTTTTAAATGGAATGTAATAGAAACTGGATGATGATTGTTATTAAAATTATTTTTATTTTTACTTAAAAGTATCTCCATTATGAAGGGAAAAAATGATGATTCTATGCCAGTAAGATAATTCAATTAATCCAATGTTTTCTGTACTTCAGTATCTTTAAGAATGACATACTGACTCACTATTTTTGGCATCAGAGGCATAGGCATGGGTAATCACATAATTTTAACTCAGTTCCTTATGTAAATGTCAATTCCGTATTACAGCTGGCTAAAGGCAAAGCAAATCTACCAGAAAGGTACAAAGATAAATGAAAGTGACCTAGAGGGAGAGAGACAGGAAAAAATAGACTGAAGTAAAAATTCAGGAAAAGCAAAAGAACTACATTTGGTCAATAGGCCAAGAAACCACTTAGATCTCTCCATTCCTACTACTTTCCACTTTCAAAATTTTCAAAGTTTTTCCCCCAAGGTCCAAAATCCTTAAAAAATCAATTGTCCCATTCCCTATTCAGGTAAATCATTATGCCTGCCAGCCTCATAGATTTTTGTGGTATTGACTTTGTGTCTCACAGAAATAGTTAAGGGTAAGGATGCTGGGGATGGGTGGGGTTGGAGGTTGCGGTGGGATGGGTGGAGGAGGCATGGTGAAAAACCAGCCCCATTCTTCCCATTGATAATCCATCTGTCAGTGCAATTATGTCTCAGAGGGTTCTCCATTTTGAATATACAAATCAACCTTTACTTATTAGTTTTTGTCACCTGCAAATAATGTGAAGAAAATATACCTTATTCTTTTTGTACATACCAGTACATAGTAAAAGGCTTGGCACATAGTATGTTAGTTGAAC